CTCTTTTTTCAGAATATTGCTTACCCATTATCTATATTCAAGAATCTTACAAATGCCTTCCCTTGATTGACAAGTATTTTCACCTGGCATTAGATATGGTAAAATTATAAAATTGTGTGCAAACAACTGTAGAGAATATATTACAGAAGCGTACTAAAAATGATGATAAATTATTACTCACTTATTTCAGAAACAGCCCTAGGCCTTCGGTATAAGTTTAATAATGATCCCTAAAAAGTAAGTGATAAAAGTGAAAATTAATTAGTTCACCAACTCAAGAATGTAATCAATTGTCAATTACACAGTGTACATTAAGTTTAAGTATGATAAGTTGGATCTATTAAAAGGGGACATTACATGCACATGTATAGGAATGTCAATGCTTAATACTGAATAATATACAACTAGTGTGCAGTTGCAGTTCACAAAAAGGGCGAAGTGTGAAGAGAAATCGAAAAGCAAAATGCTGGAGAGTGGTCAATAACATATAGATGAAGCAAATATATATCTTTACCAATCAGAAAAACAGTCTAACTGTGCACACATCTATATCCAAATTATATTCACTTACTAGAGGCAATTCATAATCATTGTGCTTTTCCAGAGTCTGTGGCATACATTCCCAATGGCTATTTGAATAGCATCAGCATCACTAATTCTAAAGGCCAGAAAAAAAACAAGGATTTAGCCTATTGTGATTACAGTCACTCAAAATAAAAAAACTGTCATATGTCCACTTGTGTAATTTGTTGTGCTTTATTAACTCGCATTGCGCAAGCGAGTTCTTAAAACCAGGGCCGTTTTTTTTATTATTATGGTCGAGAATTTTGTCCCCCCTTGCAGGCACGGTACCTGCACAACCTTCATATATGGTTTGCTATGGTTTGCTTACATTTCCACGTCGCCGGACATTTACATATTACTTATTTTAGCTCGATCTCAAAGCTGCGGTTGTCACGAGAGCTAAATATTGTGAATTATATGGTTGGCAAGTACTATTCGATCTATTTATATTTTATAACGATCATCTTATAGTTATATACAAATACTCACAATGAGCACAATCAGTTAGCCTACACCGAAGAACGAAGGACCGCGAGCGCGATTTTGAAACGGGCTTTAGTTTAGACGAAATATCTGAAAGTCTTGTTACAATTATTATACTGCCTTTCCCTGCTAGCAGAGGTTTCTATTATCTTTATTTTCATAAAGCAACAAATTAAATAAAAATATATAATGCATCTACAGTAGAGATGCATATTTTTTGGTTCTAGTCAAATCTATGTATGGTTTTACTATGTTCAAACTGACAGACTTTATTTTTTATTTTTATTTTATTTTCTCAATTTTTCATGTGATCCATATAGATTTACCAAATGGCTAGAAGAAACAGCACTATTCGAAAAATTTTGAAACGGAAACGTTTGAATAACCCAGATATTTTACCAACTCAAGAATGTAATCAATTGTCAATTACACAGTGTACATTAAGTTTAAGTATGATAAGTTGGATCTATTAAAAGGGGACATTACATGCACATGTATAGGAATGTCAATGCTTAATACTGAATAATATACAACTAGTGTGCAGTTGCAGTTCACAAAAAGGGCGAAGTGTGAAGAGAAATCGAAAAGCAAAATGCTGGAGAGTGGTCAATAACATATAGATGAAGCAAATATATATCTTTACCAATCAGAAAAACAGTCTAACTGTGCACACATCTATATCCAAATTATATTCACTTACTAGAGGCAATTCATAATCATTGTGCTTTTCCAGAGTCTGTGGCATACATTCCCAATGGCTATTTGAATAGCATCAGCATCACTAATTCTAAAGGCCAGAAAAAAAACAAGGATTTAGCCTATTGTGATTACAGTCACTCAAAATAAAAAAACTGTCATATGTCCACTTGTGTAATTTGTTGTGCTTTATTAACTCGCATTGCGCAAGCGAGTTCTTAAAACCAGGGCCGTTTTTTTTATTATTATGGTCGAGAATTTTGTCCCCCCTTGCAGGCACGGTACCTGCACAACCTTCACATATGGTTTGCTATGGTTTGCTTACATTTCCACGTCGCCGGACATTTACATATTACTTATTTTAGCTCGATCTCAAAGCTGCGGTTGTCACGAGAGCTAAATATTGTGAATTATATGGTTGGCAAGTACTATTCGATCTATTTATATTTTATAACGATCATCTTATAGTTATATACAAATACTCACGATGAGCACAATCAGTTAGCCTACACCGAAGAACGAAGGACCGCGAGCGCGATTTTGAAACGGGCTTTAGTTTAGACGAAATATCTGAAAGTCTTGTTACAATTATTATACTGCCTTTCCCTGCTAGCAGAGGTTTCTATTATCTTTATATAATGGGATTTCAATCTGTATGGCGAAGTATTACAAAATTACGGATATTCAGCATCGACATGTTATTGTATTTGCGATGCAACAAGTATATGTGAACAATAACATAGTTAATGAGATCCATTGAATTTTAAACGACTATCCAAACCATTTGCTTCAATAACTGTGGATGGACGTATTGCAAACTATATTACCCACGTAATAAATAAATATGCGAAGTAGTTTTCTCCTGTGCTTTTGTTTCAGACAAATAGCGGTATACAAGCATGACTTTATTACTAATACTCATACTGTACATATGTACTTCATTGTGGGTTGGGTAGAGAGATTTTATAGACATAATTCAAGAAACAAAATAATGGCTTTTGTCTCATGTTCATAATAATAATCATGCTCAATAAATCATTGCTTCAGTATAAAAACAGAAACTGGGCTATAAGATCTAATAGTGATAATATATTTACTTCCTTGTGGGTTGGGTAGAGGGATTTTATAGACATATTATTCAAGAAACAAAATAATGGCTTTTGTCTCATGTTCATAATAATAATCATGCTCAATAAATTATTGCTTCAGTATAAAAACAGAAACTGGGCTATAAGATCTAATAGTGATAATATATTTACTTCCTTGTGGGTTGGGTAGAGGGATTTTATAGACATATTATTCAAGAAACAAAATAATGGCTTTTGTCTCATGTTCATAATATGATCATGCTCAAATCTTTGCTTCAGTATAATAAACTGGGCCACAAGATCTAATAGTGATAATAGATCTTGGTAACAAGCTCTATAATTCTGCTTAATCAAGATTGTCAAGACGAACATTAAATCACAATCATGATATATATAATATATATATATATAATATATATATATATATATATATATATATATATATATATATATATATATATATATATATATAGCCACAATTGTACACTATAACTCAATATATAGACTGAAATTTGGTTTTATTACATCAAAATAGTATTGGTGATAAATACGTTATAATATTATAAAGATAGATATGAATATATAGGCGTATTAATACAATTTTTAGAGCGGTTTGAGTGTTTCCTATTATGTACACCTTTTGCTTTCATTTGTAATTCCTTCTTAATATATCAAATCTCTTTCTATTCACTATGCATAAACGGGCGTGTCGTTCCAAGATCCGCCGGTGGATTAGAAACACGCTTCCCAGTCGTGCTTGGAACCTGAAGACATCACGACTCTGTTTTTTTAAAAACAGTTTAGGGCGAGACCATACAGTAGCTTTACCTTGCAAATACTGTTGGACTTGGTTTACTTCCTAAAGCACCCGGGTTTTGCATTTTCTTCCAAATTTCCTTTCTTTTCTCATACCTGTAGTTAATTTAAACATAATTTACTCTATGTAGATTAATTGACCATTGCAATGAACACGAACAATTTTCTGCATCTTTATCTTACCTCATTTTAGAATGTCAACAGATCCGATATCGTATCCATAAGAAACAACCTTTTTAACCTTTTTAATGGTGACATTTTTTACCCGCTCGAATTTTGGCCATCTCAATATCAATTTTTATTTTGGAAGAAACCTCTTACCGACACAGATACTTTCAAACTTTTTTTATTCCTTATTGGTAATGGCGCATCACCTAATTACACAGCAGAATGGATTTTAAGTTCAACTTCATGGTCAACTAAAAGAACGGCAGAAAAGAGAGCCAGACAACTTGATTTTATTTTTAATAATATAGATAATCACGGACAAAGATGGTTTTATTTTGATATACATTGTGGAACTTGGTATTTTATGAATGGTTTACAGAGACAAATTAATCTCTAAGTTTTTGCACTCACCATTTATTTCCATATTTTCAATATTATTCTGTTTAAATTTCTTCTAAAAAGAAAATAATATTACACATCAATTAAATTTTATTGTTTCTATACGGTATAGCTAGGTGTTTCTATATGGTTCAGTATGATGATTGCATATATATGCTTTTTAAGAACGAGGCAGAAGTGTGCTGCATTTTTTGCAGAAGTCGCTCCCTCATTTACATGACTATTTTGACTAATACTAATACAACTACACCTACATGACGTACAACTGACTTTACTTTACCAATTTTGTGGATAGAAACCCTATATATGGCATAGGGATTCTTAGAACTAGTAATTATTGCCACATAGATTGCTAGTGATCTACTGATTTTTTGTATATTCATTATACAATATTAATTTCATAAAGCAACAAATTAAATAAAAATATATAATGCATCTACAGTAGAGATGCATATTTTTTGGTTCTAGTCAAATCTATGTATGGTTTTACTATGTTCAAACTGACAGACTTTATTTTTTATTTTTATTTTTATTTTATTTTCTCAATTTTTCATGTGATCCATATAGATTTACCAAATGGCTAGAAGAAACAGCACTATTCGAAAAATTTTGAAACGGAAACGTTTGAATAACCCAGATATTTTAACGCAACCCACCTACAATAAGGATAATCCATCTTTGAAGGCTACATCTGCTAAAGAAAATAGAAAGAAACGGAAAAGAATTAAGTACAAACAAAAATTAAAACAAAATAAGCATAAGAAAACCAACCCCCTAAACCTACTTATTATTCAAAGAAAACTTGGATCAGAGGTATGAAATCGCATAAAAACCTGACACCATTACAAAAGAGAAATTTACTCAAAATTCACAACTTGGAAAAAATTTTAGAATCGAACTATACATGCCTGTACCACCTTCAACTATCCATAGATCAAGTCATTTATAAAAATGCCGATGCTAATGTGTCCACTACTAATTCCACCAAATCCGAACAAATTCCTCCTGAAGAAACACTAGAATATATAAACAGTATTCAATTAGACATAGCAATGTTAGAAAAAAGAATAGATCAAATGAAAAACGAAGTAATACAGACCGAGAAGGGCAAAATCAAAGATATAAAAGAAAAAGCACCCCTCAAAAGATCAATCACACAACGCATTCATAAAATTAATAAATCTTTATCTACATTCAATGGTTTCATACAAAACAGGTCAATTATTACTAAGAATGGTTTAGCATCAAAGCTTAAAAATAAAGTTAATGATGAAAGGAAAACCTTTACCGTCAAAGAAAAAATGAAAACATTACATACGAACAAAATTCATAATTTCACTGATATCACCTTACCTTTGGGCGTTACCAGCATCCTTAACAAAGGCACCAATTTCATACCAACCTCTACTAACCTTAATCCTGCATCACTTAAAGATTCCACCTATAAAGAAGTTAAAGATGCCCTCAACAATATTATCTTAAAACAACCTACAGATTATAACACTGTCCATAAAAGGAAGAAATCAACTGGTAAAAAGAAAAGTCACAATATCAACAACATCAATACCAATCCTTTCTCCCTCTTAGATCAACAGCAAGGAAGACCTAATTTCAATCAATACCTTATAGATTATGTACATCAAACGCTTAACTACACTAAAGAATACCTTGACGACACAAATTTCTCTAGGTTATCTCAACTGAATATGCTTAACATAGATCAACATACCTCACTGCAACTGTATGATATACAATGCAATCAAGACATAGTCATCACACAATCGGATAAAAATATGGGTTGGGCTCTTCTACCAATATCCTGGTACATCAATGAATACGCAAGACACCTGAAAGATGCTAACATTTACAAGATTATTGAAGATTTTAATCTGGATTTACACACCACAGAATGCAACGCAATACTTGGAAAATTAAAATCTCGTTTCAACAATCTTGTCTCGGATGATGACAAAGCTCTACTCAACCCTCTTTCCTCTACAAATATTCAATTACCTTACATGAAACTGCTCCCTAAAGTACATAAACTCTCTTCTATTGCCTCTTCTTCTAACTTATCCTCTCTTACTGGTAGACCTATAATCACCGCACACTCTTGGTCCACCTCAAATATCTCTAAATTGTTAGGCCTACATTTGGATAGCATCATTTTGAAATTTAAAGATCTCTTTGTTTCTAAACACATTCACTTTCCACTTATTTACAACTCCTTAGAGCTTGTTGAAATCCTATGTCAACATCCTATTTATAATATCAATAATTATAAATTGATATCCTTTGATTTCTCTTCTCTCTACACCAACATATCTTTTCAAGATACTATAAATGCTATTGTTAATAGTTGTAAATTACTTAAATTATCTACTTTTTACAGAGATTTCCTACTTAATATCAACCAATTTCTAAATGATAGAAACTTTTTTACTGTAGGAGGTCACATTTTTAAGCAAATTCATGGGATCGCAATGGGTAGTTACCATAGTAGACAAATGGCTACGGTGGCCCATAGGTGTCACGGCAATGGTTTGAAAAGTACAGGGCACAGCATTTATATTGCACGACAACATCGGCATTGAATGTTCACGGAAACTTTTAAAACGAACGGCAACATCAAAAGTTCGCGGTAACAATAGAATATATATCTCACGGCAACTTTTAAAATCCACGGCAACATCAAAACCTCGCGGCAACAATAGAATGTCTCACGGCGACTTTTAAAATCCACGGCAACATTAAAAGTTCGCGGCAACAATATAGAATGTCTCGCGGCGGAAGTGAAATGTTATTCTTCCTGGAAATTAATCTAGTTACCACTTACCAGATTCCTTATTTTACCTAGCAATCAAAATGGCGGTTAACGTTATAGCTATCGATGATATAGCTATCGAAGACGAGTACGAAAATAGTGATGAATCCACTGATCTAACTGATGAAAAAGAAATCATAAGTTTTTATTTTCATCGGGGATTTCATTATAAAGAAATTCTAAACTTTCTCCAGAAATTTCATCACAAGGAGATGAGCTTGAGTACGTTGAAACGTCGGATTAAAGGGTACGGTCTTCAAAGGAAAAACTCTGATTATGACCTTGACATTGTTCGGGATACAATAAGATCTTTACTGGATGGTCCTGGGTGTTGCAGGGGCTACCGCGCGATGTGGCATGCTCTACAAATGAGGGGAATAACAGTTCCAAGAGTTGTAGTAGCAGAATTATTACGAGAGCTAGATCCCGAGGGGGTACAAGAGAGGTCGAGGCACAAATTGAAAAGAAGGGTATATCGGAATCCAGGCCCTAATTTTTCATGGCATTGCGACGGATACGACAAACTAAAACCATACGGCTTCCCCATCCATGGGTGCATAGATGGGTGGAGCCGCAAAATTCTCTGGTTATATGTGACACGGTCCAACAATCAACCAAATAACATAGGAATGTACTATTTGGAGGCTGTGCAACAGTACAATGGTTGCCCAGTTGATTTCATCACGGATCTTGGTACAGAAAATGGTCTTGCTGCTGCCATCCATACATTTTTTAGAAATGACCCAGACAGTCATAGGTATGTATCTTCCCCTTGTAATCAGAGGATTGAAGGTTGGTGGTCATTCCTTAGAAAAGACCAAACATCATGGTGGATGAACTTTTTTAAAGATCTTGTGGAAGAGGGGACACTAAACCTTACACTCACTCTCCATACAGAATGCCTCTGGTTTTGTTTTGCATCATTATTGCAAGAGAATTTAAATGAAGTGAAGGAAAATTGGAATTCACATTCAATTAGAAAATCAAGATATGACACTTTGCAAGGAAGGCCAGATTCTTTATTCTACCTCCCTGAGTTTCACAATGGACTATCTAATTTGCATCTGCCTGTTCCTGAAGAAGAAATAAATTATGGGAGAGAGCATATAATCAGTGACTATTCTGGGCAAAATGACTACCAAAGATATTTTACTTATATCATGGACAGTTGCTCATTGGAAAAGCCTTCTCACTGGAGAGATGCGCTGGAGCTGTTCCATGTACTCATCAACTGTGCAAATAATGGTGAAGTTGCATTATGATATGATAGTTGCATATTTTGAGATATTCCTGAGAGGGGTTAAATATGTATGTAAAACAAACACCCTCACAACAAAACTGAATTTTTTAATGAGTGCTCGAACTATGAATAAGGTCTTTCAAACATTTCTAACATTCAATGTCATTAGCACAGCTGTGATTATTACACCAATGTCATTACACCACAGCTGTAATTCAGGCTAAATATTTAGTGGTGTATCCAGCATTAGTCAAAATATATTACTGCAACACAATCTCAATTCAAAGTACCAGAGTAATGATGCTATTGATTCTAAAAATCTACCTTTATTTTGAACGCTTTTTAAAATTGTAGCATATCCAAATATGAGCAGTTATAGCTTTTTGTAACTGATTCTAAATCTGCCACTGATATTATAATTTTGTTAAAAAATTTGAAGAATTTAGAAATAAGGTTGTTTCTTATCAAAATAATTAAATGTGGCCTTTATCACCTAGGGTAAATTTTGAAACAAATATTATCATCAGGAATGCTAGATTTTAAAATGCTTATTGTGACATACTACATGGTGCATAAAAAATTGCCCCCTATTAAAGTGAATTTGAATGCATGATTAACACACTGGTGTGTAAATAACATAGTACTTAAGGTCCCGCTTTCAATTTTATGCATTCAAATTCAAATTCCAGCAAATGTTTGATTCCATTCTAGGGGGTACTTTTTTATACACCCTGTATCACAAAATTGCTACTGCAATTCTATGGTAGCCATTAAAGTTTAAACTAAATGTTTTTACTGTCACTAACTTAACAAGATTGATTTCTTGTTAACAAACCACAATGTCAAACTAAAACTGAACTTATGAAACATTCTAGTATTCATGGTTTGGCAAAAGGTTGCCCCATGCAATAAGCTAGAATAAAGATTTCTTTAAACTTCTGTGCTGTATCCATGTGTACAACAGGGATTGTTAATTCCCTACCACAAGCTCCTATCACAGGAAAACATGTTTTGTGATCTGGGTTTCTAAGAAGACATTCATGATCAAAATTTATTGTTATGGTGGGTCTCTCCTCTGTCGTACCGGTAACATGCTTGTGCCTTTGGCCAGTAAGCCATCCCATGACACCTCCAACTGACATATCTGCGGTTTCAAACAATTCTTCGGCACCTTCAGATGTTAACGCTTCATTTTCAGATTCATTGATATTGGATGCTACTGCGGCCGAGTACCCTGATACTTGCGTATCCTCTAAGGAAATCAAGACATCTTGAAGATGATCCATTATAGACTCTTCCATAACACGCTTAGTTGATCCTTCTTCAGAGAAAATAGGTTTCATCAAGGAGAAAAGATAATCTGCATCTGGAACTAAATCCTTCTTGAAATCTTTGACGAAAAGGGGTCGACAGGCATCAGGATTCATCTCAATCATATTTCCAAGACCATAAACATCTAGGCCTTTCTTGAACTCTTTCATGTATAACATACGGTCACTGACAAATCTGACCTTCAATGAATTCACAATATCCTGAATAAACCTCTGATCAACAATTCCTGTGAAGCCATGTTCTATTATGAAGTCAGAATGCTTGGTACAGTCGAGTCTGATATTATCAAGGATCAGCTTTTCTTTCTCAGCCAAGTCTTTTTCATCTACATTTGTCAAATCTGTTTCAGTGAAAATGCTATTATAAGCACATTCATCTAAGAAGCACGGTGGTGGTCCCCCTTGGGCAAGTGAAGCAGCTGCTATCTCACCGCATGTACGAAAGTCCCCGTTCTGGACATGATGAGTGGAATTGACGGGAATACCGTCCTTGAATAAAGTTGATGCTATCTCTGCGATTGTGTCTTCTAAGAACTCGCATGCAATTGCTCCTGAATCAATTCCTGCTTCTCCGCTATACTTTACCATAATTCTACAGGTTGGTGACTTTCTTTTAGCCTGGCGCTGCCAAAGGGAAAAAATTCTCGAAATGGCAGCCTTTCTTCGGGTGATTATAAAAAACTGATCATTGCTTTCTATTTTTGAAGAAAGGACATGGATAACATCTTGCTTATCCTTTATCATACATTCTGATACATTAACAGTACTGTCTGAATCGTTTTCTTTAGGCGACCTTGAAGTTGAAACAAGCTCAACATCTTCGTTCCATTCCTGCTGAAGTTGCCTTGCTATCTGTTCATCTTGACTTGTACATGGTTGCTGTCCCTCTTGGCTTGTACTTGGATCATCAGGTAACACAGTGACCACTTTAGATCCCCCAAATGATTGGACAGAGCAGTCCATTTCATCATTCATTTCATCCAATTCATATGAGGATTCTTCCATCCCCTCATTCAAGTCAATATCAGACTGAGTGCACAAATAGAGAGTAATTCGCTTGTAGTCCCTACCGAGTTCAAATCTGTACTTTTCCAATTCAAAGAAATCTTTAGTTCCAGGCATAAAAAGTGCATGGCTTCCATCTTCATATAGCAAATCATACTTTTCTGTTGTATCAAAGGACCTGTCAAAAGCTGCCATTTTTTCAGTTGCCTTTTGCAAGATAAAGTTACAGGTAGCGGACTTTGGAACTCGAATAGGAAGTCTTTTTCCTTTGACTGTTTTCAGACACCCATCCTTGTATCGTTTAATCCCCACATATACCATTACCACTTCATTTGGATCAGACTTTGCCTTTTTATTTGGCCGAAATTTAGTAACGTTTTCCTTGCTGGTTTTCTTCTTCAGGAACTGTTCGAATGTTAGCACTTTCCCATGAGGGACACTTTGGGGCCTACCAAATGATGACTGAGCTGTTTGCGACATATCTGTCTTTTTATCTTGCTGGTGAGAGTCATCGCTGGTTGAAAGTTTTGAACTCAAGGTAGGAGGGCCAACTTGAGTTTGGTCACTTTTACATTTCCAACAATAGCGTATTCCATCTCTTAATTTAGCAGCACAAACCCCACAATAACTAAAACAAAAGTATTCCAGAGATTAGTGTCACACCACGGTAGCTGGGAAGCTTGTTTCTCTCCTTAGCGGCCAATTTTTGGAATGACAAAGATCACAAAGAAGGTTCCAAAATATTTGAAATCTGCTTTTTTTTTGCTTTTGCCATATTGTTTGTTTTGTGAATGTATTATTGTATTTATACCAAACAATTGGAATACACACTGTTTTCAGTAATTTCCTTTAAGTGAGTAACAATAACTTTGAGCCCATAATACCAGGATGTGACATTATCAAAGATAAATTCATTTTTAGAAATAAACTAAAACTTTAATATACAAAGTTAATTAAGGTGGCTCGTTTTTGGAGAAAATGGAAATTACAACAATGTCCACATTTTAAAGAAGCAAAACTTGATTTAGTCACTGTAAAATGCAAGAAGCTTCTTGCTTGCATGAAATGATATTTACATGCAGTGTTTTGAATCTAGGCAGATTTACACATATGATCTCTGAACACTGTGGAATTTGGGTTAGGTCATTCTAGAGATTAACCATAATTAATTAATAAATTGCAAAACTATTGATATAGGGTCAAGAGTCATAAAAGACTATATAAGTTATACTGAACTATTGGCAATTTTAGAGTGACTAAAAAACACAATCAGGTGGATAGTACTATTCAGTTTCCATAAAGTCTTATATCATGATTAACTAAGAACTGAAGACAGAAACTGTAGTTCTGCCATCCTACTGCAGGTACTGTATATTGTATCTATTATCAGTATGATAATCTCAACTTTTCACATTCATGATACTGAAAAACATATCTTCATATTTATCTAATTTAGATGTTGTGCCTTAATTATTAGGCCTTTTTGCACTTCAATAGGCACTTTTGACTAGACATTCAATCGAAAATATTCATAAAGAAAACACAGAAAACGCGTTTCTTGTTCCACTCCATTCCCCCATCCATACCGGCCACAGAATACCCATCAGAAGTAGAACTCCTGTACTTTTTTCGTAAGTGTGATTCATCATTTTTTTGAGGCAGTAACCCCCCTGCCAATACTAAAAATGTTGTGATTTTAGACATTGGCAGGGGGGGTGACTACCTCAAAAAAATGCACTTGCTAAGTGACGAATCATGACAAATCACACTTACGAAAAAATAGTATAGAGTTATTCTTCTGATAGGTATTCTGTGTCCATACACAACATGAAAAGATCTGAGGAGCAAACTGGATGGAAGACCAGCCCAACTACCTCAATAACCCTATGCCCCCCCCCCCTCCCCCAAACTGGATGGAAGACCAGCCCAACTACCTCAATAACCCTATGCCCCCCCCTCCCCCTCCCCCAACACCGCCACGGGGATCATCATCATCAGTACAGTTGGAGAGAGCAATCCAAAATCAGTAAGACTGGAACGGTTTGTTGCGAAATAATGAAAAAAATATTAAATACTAATTCAAATATACAAAATTTGCCAAGTTCCCATGGCGACGCTTTTTGCAACCAAAGTACCGAACATTGTAATCTTACCAATTTTAGAATGCTGTTCTGGCAATTTTTCATGTTTCAAAATTAGTTGAAACGGGGAAGGTGGTAGTACATTTAAGTCAGAACAATTATGTAGAAACTTACAACACGTTTTCTTCCTCTTTTGCCGCCATTTTGATTGTCCTCATTGATAAAATAACTAAGTAAGGAATCTGGTAACTAGATAAATTTCCAGGAAGAATAACATTTCACTTCCGCCGCGAGACATTCTATATTGTTGCCGCGAACTTTTAATGTTGCCGTGGATTTTAAAAGTCGCCGTGAGACATTCTATTGTTGCCGCGAGCTTTTGATGTTGCCGTGGATTTTAAAAGTTGCCGTGAGATATATATTCTATTGTTACCGCGAACTTTTGATGTTGCCGTTCGTTTTAAAAGTTTCCGTGAACATTCAATGCCGATGTTGTTGTGCAATATAAATGCTGTGCCCTGTACTTTTCAAACCATTGCCGTGACACCTATGGGCCACCGCAAATGGCAGATCTAGTACTACTGTTATCTGAATTCAATTTTTTCTTATCAACATGCACTAATGGCTTACATATATTTGCACGATACATAGATGACGGCTTCATGTTAACCAATCACACTGATCAAACCTCTTAATTAATTCTCTTATCACTTACTATCCTCGTCAAATTCCAATTTCTTTCAATTGCAACTTTTATTCTACTCACTACTTAGATCTTACAATTTCAATCAATTACCATACAATCCTGTTCAATCTCATCCATTATCAGATCTATCAAAAACCTAATCATAAATATATGTATCCACACTATACCTCCAATCATCCTAGTCATATTTTCAAAGGGCTTGTTACCACAGAAACAATCCGATACAGCAGATTATCCGCCACCATCGACGACTACAACTTTATGTTAAACCTATTCACATTCCGACTCACCTCTCTTGGCTACCCTTTGGAACTCATCAAACGAAATACCTTCCCTTTTATGACTTTGAACAAGCATATGCAGAAGAAGACCAATCAACTACAAAAAAAGAAGACACCGGCAATCCATTATAATATAAGATTTAATAAGCATGCTAGAACAGACAAGATTGTACAACACATCCTACATAAATACCACAATAAACATATCCCTAGTCTCAAGAAAACCTATTGTAATGCTAAAAAATTGAACACACTTTTGTTAACCAACAAAAAATTACATGATAAATTAATTAATTCTCAATGTTTATAGATTTGCATATACAAAGAACGAGTTATTATATGCATATTTCAATTTGATCAACCACACCTTATTAAGATACATAGTTTAATCAAGATTGACTTTTGTCCTCTTGAAGTTTTGAGAGAAGTTATGCACCTATCATTTGTTTCCACCACCCCTGGGAGGGCGGGGAACCGTGGGGGATTTTGACCTTTTCAAATTATTCTTGTCAAATTCCCCATCCACAAGTTGGAATTAGCTGTCAAATATCCCCACTCAGGGAGAGTGCTTAGTTCAGTTTTCCTCTTTAGCATGGCTTAAAAAGGTTTTTATGGAAATATGATATCATATACTTGATGTCTAGATGCATTCTGGTTACCCAATAGCAATTTGCGCCTTTAATACAAAAAGATAGAGAATGACACAGGTTATTATATTTACACTTGAGGTGATTTTTGCATACCAGTAACGACAAGGCAAAAAAACTTGAACAGAGCATTAATCAGTTGCTTTTACCTGCTGGTATTATTAATATTGAACACAATGGAGTTGAATACAGTGGAGTTGAATTGAGGCAATATAGTCAAACGTGCATTCCAAGTGAAAATAATGAGACAACAGAAAGCTCTTAGTTTAACATCTGTATTCAGGTGAAATGTAAAAATAGCAAATTCGTGTTTAATCTCCATGATTAAAATGTAAAAACAAGAAAATATGAACTGCAGAAGTACGGAACTGATCTCACTGACCTCGCGCGACGCTTATGTTGTCTGAGCAGTTTTATATTAGGGAGATTTAGCACGAGGACGTGAACGTCAAATACGACGTGAAAATGGCGAGTAAATGGCGTGGCATGTCCATATTTGGGCGCATCACGCCATTTATTCGTCATTCTCACGTCGTCTTTGGCGTTCACGTCCTCATGCTACATCTCCCTATTATGACAAGGTAGGCAACTCTCACGCCAAATAAGCTAAAAACGCACGACGGTTGACCCAAACACCTTCACAAAATAGAAAACTGATTGGCTCTTTTTAAACGACAGCCAATCAGCTTTCTATTTTCAATTTAAAAATATGACGAAGGTATAGGCAAGGTGTCCCCAGCATAGGTTTTGAAATATATTTGCCAGAAACCCAAAAAACATTCACGTTTTATACATGCATAGGAATACATTTGAATGCTAAAAATATAGTATAAATGTAGTAAAATTATTCAAGTTTAATAAATGTGTTGTACTTTTTTTTTCTTATTCGTCATATTTTTACGAAATATTTGCGGTTTTGTGAAGGTGTTTGAGTCAACCGTCGTGCGTTTTTAGCTTATTTGGCGTGAGAGTTGCCTACCTTGTCATATTATAAGACTGTTCAGACAACATAAGCGTCGCGCGAGGTCAGTGAGATCAGTTCTGGGCCGCCTATGGAAGTACGTTAATGTTTGCAAACACTGCAATACCATTCAGGTAATGCATTAATATCCTCTTCAATTCCGACACAAATGGAGTGAAACCAATTTCCGCACCCATCGCATTGAATCCAGTGAATAAATTCGACAACTTCCCCGTTAATCATCGGTTCGTCAAGGAAACATAACTGGCAAAAAGACTTGGCCATACAAGTGTTACAGAACCAGCTGCCTTGGACATCCGCACTAACTACAGCTACACACACGTCATGAAACCAAGAAGAGCAACCGTCACACATAACCCATGAAATTGTATCACTCATTGCTTCTGGGGGAATCTCGTCTTCGCATTTGGCACACAAGCCTTCCAAGAAATCATCATTTTCCATTGTGTTCGCCTAAATAATACAGTATAGAAAAAATTAAAACATTAATAATCAACTATAAATGCGAAGCTCTCTTTCTGCTGGGAGAAAAATCACATGGTATTGAGAATTGACAAAGAAAAACAACTAACAAAACTCTTTAACATGAAATATTGCATTGACCTTTGCCTTCTTCGGTTTTTTATTCAACTTATTGAGTGTATTTTGCTTCCGCGTTCGTGCTGCCTTTTTTGCACCCTCGATCCGATGTTCTTGCACGGATTTCAAGTGTTCCAGCCAAAACACCACTTCCGCTGGGGCGAGCAGAACTCGTTTTGCCAAATCTCGACAGGGAGGTTCCTCCAGTAGCTGATTTCCTTTAAGCTTAAATTCTGATTTGATAATTTCTGACGGGGGGCGTATTTCATTGAACGGTTTCTTCTCTAACATATGTTGAACAACGTCTTCTGCAGGCAAGAAATGTCCTGCACATTCTCCTTCGCATGACGAGCAATTTTCGGCTCCAAAGGGTCGTTTTGGGTCTGGTAGAGGCAGAGGAATACACTCAATAGGAGGTCCACCATTATACCATAAGACTTCATCTTCGGGTTTTCCAAGTTGGCAAAGGGGATGAGGACACTCGCTCTTATAGCAACAAACTAGATGAAAAATATACCTTTGGGGAACCGAATTGTTTATGTGGTTGTTTCGAATGTCCCATATTCGCTTTATCTGGAGGTATTCGTCTGGATGCTCCAATTCCAATGCCTTCTTTTTCTTTTTTGAACCATTCAAAAACATCTTTACAAAGCCACTTAGACGTTGATTATCTTCGCTGTTAGCCCCTCTATATAAACGTATGTTTGTTTCTCCACACGGTGCCCCATCCACTCGTGAGATATATACATCTATTGCATCCGAGAGATTTTCTTTCAGCTTGGACTCATCAACTTTCCCACTTCTATCGGAATTTAGGCCATTCAGTGTTGAAGGTATAAAGAGACCTGACCTTGCTTTTACCTCACAGCCATTTTGAAGCTCAACTCGATTTAAGTTGCTGCCTCCACTTTGCCTACTCGTCACAAGTTGGACACGGGTGGGTCTTTCAAAGTGCCTCTTGGTCCACCAGAATTGAACTTCTTCAAAGCAAGGAGCCTCATCGGTTCCACTATCGACTCTGATGCATTTGACTTCTTTAGGAAGGCGTCCTTCTTTAGTGCAGAACTTAACTTCATAATTCTCTTGTACCATTTCCAAATCAGCTGCGTGCTGCGCAGGGTTTTTTTGGTGTAATAGTGGTCCCTTCACAACACCTGCACAGAGTTCACCTTCATCTTCCGTTTCGGTAAAGTTATAAGAAGTGGTTTGTAGCGTACATGGGTACTTTTGTTGGTAGTCGGTTTTGGTGGCAAGGGAAACTTTATCTTTGATACAGATAGTAGGACATTTGTTGCTGCACGTTGTGGAATCTAGTCTAAATACAGAAAGATCATCTCGATTTAGGATTACTTTACTGCTACCTTCCTTATATTGGATGTAGTTCAAATATCTGTATAATGCTGCAGACCAATGGCTATCGGGATTAAATTTTAAATCGAATCCTTTTCTTGACCGGCGACATGTGACTTTAGCAACTCCTTTGTAATTCTTAGCATTAATCCTCCTTTTATTTCTGGCAACACAGAGCTGGACGATGCTGCCATAGCCAAATTTCGTTGCATACTTTTCTTCTAGATGTTTTTTGATACTGTGAAATGTCACTTTCTTTTTCACCTTTCTGTTCCCATCGAAAGTTAAAACGCCTGTCCTCCGCCAGGCATCCGCGCCAACACCTGCTTGCTCAACAAATTGTTCAATGTCTTTGCCAATGTTTGGATATTTTCTTAAAATCTTTCCCACATTTTTGCTTCGCTTTCTTTTTAGAATCCTATGCTCAGCGATCTTTTTATTTAAGTCTCTTTTCTTTTTCCTTTTGATAGACTTGATCCGTTTAATGACGATCTGTTTTGCCTTTTCACTTAAAGGATCTTTAATTTCATTCCAGTTAATTGGCTCATTAGAAAAACAGTCATCTTCATCTGAAACTATTAACCCCTCAGAAAGCTTCGCATTCTCTTCACGCGTTTCCTCCAATTGTTTAAATACCTGCTGGCTCTGTTCGATTAAATGTAACTGCTTGCTGCTCAATTCAAGAGAAGGCAACAAAGAGAAAATATTCGTTAAAGCATCTTTCACATTAATACCAGAAATTTCTTCTTGCATCAATTTCTGACAAAGCCACCCAGTTAAACTGACTTCTTGCAAGCAGATCTTTCAGTTTATCGGGTTGTTTAACAATATCTTCAGCTGTGATTTCATGTCCAGATAGCCTTGCTCGCGCTGAATGATAATTCCCATGAACTTGGCTACGTTCAT